ACCTCTAGGCCTCCATGGACATAAAGTTGCTCACTTTATCTAGTTTTAGCCCTTCTCCATGCCTTAAACCTTGTATAAACCTTAGTTTTGAGTGTTTTAGCCACTTAAGGCCTTGCATGCACATAAAGTTGGCAACTTTGCGTGGTAACTACACCCTAGGGGGTTGGATCTGTAGTTTGGAGCCTTGAATCCCACTGGAAAGGACTAAACATGAAAAGGGCTTAAGGGACTCGACGAGTCGGACAGGGTTTAACCGTTTTCGGGATCCTGAGTGATCTCTGTGTGCTGATTAGGGATTTCGGCCTAGAGACTTCGGTTTAGAGTTTTCGGTCTCTTAGACACTAAAGAACTCGACGAGTTACTCAGGTAACTCGGCGAGTTGACTCGGGACTTCAGTTTTTATGGACTCTGAAAGAACTCGACGATTTGGGGTTAACATGGATTGTTGACCTTGACTTTGACCAGGGTTGACCAAGTTTGACCTTAAGGGTATTTTTGGTATTTCGGGATTTTGATAATACCAGTCGCATGATGATTGTAGGCAGTTGAGTAGGAGCTGTGCATTGGGACTTATCTGATCTTATCTCATCAGTTCAGCATTTTTGATATGTGAGTCTCCTCACCATACCATTGGGTCGAAGGCACCAAGGCCAACCCATTTTGTAATATGTGGTACACTAGTTGATGTAGTGATATGTGGTATGTTAGTTGGTTATATGATAAGTGGTATGCTAGTTATATATGTGATACTTGCAGGGAAGACCATGGGAGGAGCCCATGACGCTTGGATGTAAGACCATATGGGGGAGCCCATGGCTTTTCAAGTAAAGACCATGGGGGAGCCCATGGCACTTGGATGTAAGACCATGTGGGGGAGCCATGGCTTTTTAGCTAAAGACCATGGGGGAGCCCATGGCACTTAGGTGTAAGACCATGTGGGGGATCCCATGGCATCCCGGAGTAAGACCCTGGGAGGAGCCCACGACATCCTTATATGTTTATATGCATGGCTTATGTGGTTTCTGTAGCTTTTATAGCTAATATGAATTATGTGATTATGTGGATTGTATGGGGTATGCTCTGGGGAACTCACTAAGCATTAGCTTACAATTTGTTGATTTTGTTTCAGGTACTTCTAAGCCTAAGGGCAAGGGCAAGGCTTGATGGCGCGACATGCACTTTCTCAGGCGTTTTTATGGGACACTCTGATATTTGAAATAAAATTGTTGATGATATGAATTTGAAACAATTGTTCTTGAGATTTTGTGATTTATTGGAAATGTTTTGATTATTTAAAAATGAAAATTTTCTTTTGAAAAATTGGGTCGTTACAAGTTGGTATCAGAGCCTTGGTTTGAGGGATTCAGGCACACCCTCGGGTGTGTCAGGACTCAAACTAAGGAAATGGTAAAATTATTTTCAAAAATCAAAAGTTAAAAACTTCTTAAAATGGAAAAAAAAAAAGAGTGCAATGTGCGTGATCAGCCGAGCTCAAGTAAGTGGTTCCCCAATATGTTAGCCATGTGATACTGATAATAGGATTATTATAGGCGGATGGATATTGCTATGTTTATGCTTTTAAAATTGTATACGGTTAGGAGCTTATAGCCTTAGAATGATTGATTTGACCTTATTTCCTGTTCCTTGTCTGGTTATGGTCCTAGGGTAGAATCTATTATTCGAAAGTCTATTTGATCCTTTTCTGTGTATAATTTGCATGCATAAAGGCAACCCGTGAGTTGAGTCAACTCGGAGCGTTGACTTTGACTTGACTTTGACTTTGACTTGACCAGAGTTGACCCTCAAGGGTTATGAGTATGGAATGGTATCTAAGGGGTTGTTTTGGTTCAGGGAGTGAGTAGAGTTGATTTCGGGCAGAGACGTTTCAGCTATCATCCGACAGTGAAGTGAGTTTCCTCCTAGTTTGAACAGGTCGAAGGCACCAAGGCCGGCCCGTGTAGGTTATGTGCGTTGAGTAGTAGCTGAGTGTGGGCAAGGCCCGTATCTCATAGATAGCTGAGTGTGGGCGAGGCCCGTATCTCATAGATAGCTGAGTGTGGGTGAGGCTCGTAACTCATAGCACTATTTGAGTATAGATATGGATTGATAGATTTGATTATACTTGTTGTCTGTGTGATACTTGTATGTGCTTTATAGATAGCTGAGTGTGGGCGAGGCCCGTATCTCATAGTTAGCTGAGTGTGGGCGAGGCACGTATCTCATAGATAGCTGAGTGTGGGCGAGGCTCGTATCTCATAGTTAGATGAGTGTGGGTGAGGCTCGTATCTCATAGTTAGCGGAGTGTAGGCGAGGCCCGTATCTCCTAGTTAGCCGAGTGTGTGTGTGTGGGGGGGGGTATCTTATTGAGTGTCGGTGGGGCCCGTATCTCCTAGTAGCATGATTATATATATGGTATGTGGTAGTTCGGGGAAAATTCACTAAGCTTCGTGCTTACAGTTTTCAGTTTTGGTTTCAGGTACTTTCGATAGCAAGGGGAAGAGCTCGGGATGACTGCATTGCACACACCATGATGTTTAGTCTGGGATGTTCACTCTGATGTTTTGATATGATACTCTGATTTGACACTATGACTTTTGTTTTGGGATGAAATGATTTTGATAACTATGGTTTATTTAATAATTTATAACGAAAATTTTTGGTCATGGTTTTTGGGATGTTACACAATGACCGAGTTCTAGTGAAATAAGAGGATATTAAGAGGAGATGAGGTTCCTATTTTCTTTCTTAACATAATGAGTTCATGGCATTTGGGATAGATAGGACCGTGGAAGGATTTGACATGAGTAAAACGTCTTATAATAAGGGAACATGCATGACGATCACTTGTGAGGAAGTAATAGGCTTTAAGGAGGATGTGAAGGGACAAAGATATATGTTCAAATCAAATTCCTATTATGGTGTGGTTATGTTTTAAGGAAGAATGAATATGATAATTGATAAACCTTTTTAACACAATCCTTGAAACTACCAAAATGCCCATGGAGTAGATATTTAACATTGTCATACTGATCTACAAGAACAAGGTAGATGCCTAAGTTGCAACATTAATACATGCATTAAGATTCTTGGTGATACCATGAAATTATAGGAGAGAGTCCTCGAGGCCAAGTTGCGAGGTGTTACATCCATGTCTAAGAAAGAGTATGATAACATGCCTCGAGAGATGAATTGGGGGAACATGATTTCTAGAAAGGTCAAAAAGAAATATTTCAAGGCTATTTGCAATATATATGACCAATTCTAGTGTACGAACATCGATTGGGGACATGACGTTTTGCTCGGTAGAGTTTAGGCTAGTAAAGGCTTGGCCCTTAGCCCTTATATGTTCGCCTTGATATTTGATAAGATGTCTCGTGAGACTTAGGGGTGTTCTTTAGTGTATGCTTTTTTAGCGATGACATTCCATTAGTTGTTGAGACTACGATTATGTTGGTTGTTAGGGTAGACATTTAGATGACAAAATTGACGAGAAAGGTTTATATATCAACCATACAAATACATATATTTTGTGCAATTTCGGTGGTGAGCATAATTTTGAATAGTTATAAATTTGCATTCAGAAAGAAGGGGCATTGTGTTAGATATTGCTCATTGCATTAATGCGGGTTAGCTAAAGTGGAGGGCAACTTCAAGTGTTTTGTTTGACAAGGTCTTGTTGAAACTAAAAAGAAAGATCTATATTGTGGTAGTTCGGTTTGCTACGTTATACGGGTTAGAATATTATTGGTCGATGCAGAAGGACTTCAAAAAGGATATGAAATTTGCAAAAATAAGGATGTTACAATGGATACACATGGCCTTAGGAGGAGGGTGGAGACAACTTTAGTTGATGGTACAAGGAGGAGATGACGCCTTAAAAGGACATGCGAAGATAGTGTTAAATTAGATGTGAAGGGATTTTTTTTCTTTCTAAGACAGGCCATCTAATAAGAAGGGGAGAAGACTTAGAATGAGTGTATTGAGGTAGTCTAGTCATTACCTCTTCTAATTTGTTTATGTCGGTTTAGCGTTTAACATATACATGTCCTTCCACATATTCATTAGTGATATATGTTTTGAGCACCTTTTGCCTATTATGATCTTATTATGCATTGTTGTACACTTGTACATACTCCATGCATTTATTTACTGATTGCACCGACTGTCTCTCTACATGTTTCTATCCACATTATATCTTATGCGTGAGGTCTTGTGAAAATAGAAGCCGCTTTATCCACAAGGTGGAAGCAAGAATAATTACAATCACCTCCCCTATCCTATTGCTATGAGATATTGGGAGCATCTTTTTCTTGTTATTGTTGTTATTATTTGAACTTGACTATGTGTCTATGTGTAACAATATTCACTATATTATCAATTTATGTAACAATGTATGTTACATATTTTGATCTTTAAAATAAAACATAATATGCCCCTTAAAAACGAATTAAAAAATGCTTACTTTCATATCTTTTGAGAATAAAAATGTGCTCGCAAGTAGCAACAAAAGTCCTTTGCATCAGGAAATGGCTGTAGTAAATAAGAAGAAAAGGCTTGAAAGTTCTGCTTGACCCTCTCACCAGCGATGTGGGATAAAACCCTTCCCCACTTTCTTTTTAATTTTTATACACAAACTATTTACGATTTACCCTGATGTCTAGCTTTTTTTTATTAATTTAAAAATTAAATACCAAAGATTATATTTATATTTTTCTATATTTCACCCAACTAATGTTACAATTTTTTATTTCTTATCTTGTATTTCATAACACCTTGAAACCAAAACCTCCATTTCCACAGAAGAAGACCTTGAAGAATGCAACACCAAAATAAATAAATAAATAAAGGTAAACAGATTGGTCAACTGAGTTTATTCTTCTCCAAAATCCACTTCCTTACTTTCTTTATACATTCGTCATGAAATCTTATAGACAAGTCCTTCAACTTCATATTTCCATTCAGTAAAACTGAATAAACATGTTCTTCAGATCATCTATATATGCGTACAATCCAATTATAACATGTACCAAAAAACTTAGCACATAGTATCACCTTGTTTGTAATGGATTACAATTTAGTCATTTACACCCTCCAATTGCATCTTCCTAAACAAATTCAATGCCTCAAGAATTCCATCATTCTTGACAATCCCATTAGGCATTTCATCAAACACTTGGTCTGCAGCCCTAATTTGGACAAATTTCCTTATAACTTCAGCACCTTCCATATAATAAAAACTAAAATAACAGATGAGGGAGATGGTTTGATACTGGATACAAATGAAAGAACGAAAATTATGCTAACTAATGAGGAATCATGGAGAAATAAACCTTACCTAAAAAGATAAGATTGTTGTCTGTCAGACAACCATGTAGCCATGCCAGGACCATTAGATGGATTGGCAACGATCATCTACTGAGCCATGGCCGAGGCCATGAAGTTCTGTTAATCACGCTCTGGTTACATGGTCGTGGTTCATCAACCAGACATGGGTTTCTGTCTTCTTAGGAATCAAGAATACAGAGGTACGAGCCTATAGAACAGATCCTGTTCAAGTAAGGTCGTGCTTCCTCTTCTCTCTCACCTCTTTATATAGCATCTCCGCTTTTCGATTTGAACCAATGTGGGATGAAGTCATGAAACAAATCTGACCTAAGCCCGCGCTTTCTTTCAGTTTGGGCTTGATAAATGATAACATTAATTTTATATACTGATAATATAATATGAATATTTCTCAAAAAAAAAAAAAAAATTAAGTTTGTACATTTTTATCTTTTTTCTGTTTGATGATACCTTATAACTTTAATTCGATTTTTTAGTTTTATGTTTCTATACCTTTTACCACTAATTTCCAAGTTCCCCTAAAATGAAACTTGCAAACAAATCCTAACGTTTGCAATTTTTTTCTCGATGTTACTTAAAAGTTTTTTTTTTACCTCATAATTTTCATGCAATTTTTCAATGTCACTTGGCTCATCTTTTCTCCTTGAATGTGAGTGGCATTTTTTGTTTATGTGATATGAAAGTCAAAATCTTATAAAAAGAAATTGAACAAATAGGGAAAAAAGGTGTATGCATGTGTGATGCATCTTACTAATTAACTAGACAAATATTTGTAATTAATGTTACTTTAATTACAAAACTATATATAATTAACCATGATTTAATTATATTTTCATAATTAGTGCAATGTATATAGTTAACATGTACGTGTGGATATATACATTGCATTAATTATAAAAATGTAAGCAAGGTGTCATTAATTGTACATACTTTTGTAATTAAAGTAATGTTAATTACAAAAACATTGTTTGGTTCACTATAAAGCGCACGCATACGCTCAAGAGGTCTCGAGTTCAAGCCTTGTGTTCACCATTCTTTCAAACTTTTTTATAGGACGTTGACGTGACATGTCATGTCAGCAAAAACCTCAACAAGCTTGTAAGGGGGAAAATGTAAAATGAATGAAATTAACAAGTTGAACAAAAGTAATTGGAAAAAAATACTTAAGGTAAAATCGTAAAGGCATCTGCAAACTTATGGGTTTTCATATGCAGTGGCGGAGGCAATACAGGGGCAGACGGGTGCTCTGCCCCCCTAATCTCCATCTAATTACTTTACCTAAACGCTTGAAGCCCACTAAAATCTGATTCGTTAGTTTCTATTTAGCCCACTGTCCCTGTTATCTCGTTTAATTGTGGTCAATTCCAATTAAAGTTCACCGCTAATTTACATGCATGATTACACCTTGAATCCTTAATTAGTTATGTGATTATATCGTTGATTTGGTCAATGATTCTAAACCCCACTCATAATAAATATTAAAGAACTTGCATTTGATATGCTCTCAAAAGTCCAAATCCTAGTGTAAACGAGCGGCAAAAATTGTTATGACAATCAATTTGAAGGAAAATTAAAATCATGTCATCGCTATTAATTATGGGAAGTTATCTCAAGAGTAAAAGTTAATTTACATTGCGTTGTCGTTGTCTCTTCCTCCTCCTTTCCTCACGGTGTCGCCACCCCGGAACTCAAATCCCCTAGTAAGAAATCGTCTCAAAATCTCCATTTTATTATTTGTTTTATCTTTCTGTTCCGCTTTTACTTTGATGATGAGGTATATTGTATATAGCTTCTTTACTCAACGTCAATCCACAAACGGTTTTTTCCTTACATATAAGTTTTATTTATTAATTTTCAGTTTTCAATGTCTAGACATAGTGTTTTGATGGCTTTGTTGTATATTAGTTGAGTTATTTTTGAATATTATCAATTTCTAAGTTCCAATAGATTATTTTTAGATTAACTGATTTGTTGTTTAGCTTTTTATTAGTTTGTCGTTTTAATTTTTTAAAGCCACAAACTATTATTAATTGGTTATGGTTTGTTGAATGAGAGATCCAAACATGGGTTTTTTTTAATAACTATTGGTTGTTTAGTGGCTTATTTATTGTCTTTCGGATAAATAAATGAATAAATATGTGTGAACTTTTTCTACCAATTTTCTATTTTCATATATATAGATGATTGAGAATCGAATAAGAAATGCTAAGTGTTATTTGTGTTTCATTCTAATTGTTTTAATAATAAACAAGAAGGAATCAAAAGCTTATAAATGCATTTCAATATTTTAATATGAGGTAAGTCTCCCTTATTCTAGAATCCTGGCTCCGCCCCTGTTCATATGAGTTTCACTTTAAGAAAACTTGAAAACTTATGATAAAAGATGAAAAGGATAAACAAAAAAGTTGAATGAAAACTATGGAGTAAAAACGAGCAAATTAGAAAGTTATAATTAAAACAGACCTACATTATTTATCATTTATTTTATGAAATTGATGAAATCATTGTCTTCACTTTCATGTACTGGACACCATCTTGGACTAATATCACCATTCACCGGTCAATATCTCATATCTCTAGTCACCAAAAAAATGCCCCATCCTACCCAAAAACAAACACACAAAGTGTAACATCAAAACAGGAAAAAAATACAGGGAAAAAACCATCCCAATGATTTTCAAATCCGTAAAAAAAAAACACAAAATTCAGAATCTGATGAGGTAAAATACTCAAAACAAATCTAATTTCATTAATGAAATTCCCAAAAGATGAAGCATAAAAAACACAAAACGAACGAGAAATCCATAAACAAATCTGAAATCATTCCTGACTGTAAATTGCTAGGGTGAAATCCCCAAAACAAATTATAAAAAACACAAAACCCAAAATATGATCAAGTGATGGTCATTGACGACAATAGAGAGAGGTGAGATAATTTGGGGATGATGTTGGATGTGAAGTAGTGGTTCAGTAAGTTGAGAGAATAAGAGGTGTATCGGAGTATTGATTCGGTAAGCGAGAAGCTCGTTGTGACTCATTGAAAAAACCTAAATTGGGTGAGGTGGTGGTTGCAAACCCTTGGAACTAGTCCACAGTGATGTATTTGGACCTGTGAAGCAAACATCCTTTGGAGGTATGAAGTATATGATTACATTCATATATGATTTTTTCAAGGTTTCTTTAGGTGTTCTTTATGAAGGAAAAAAGTGAAGCCTTGAATAAGTTCAAACTCTTTAAAATGGAGGATGAAAATTAACCAATCACGAAGTCGAGATGTTGCGAACAGATAACGGTGGTGAGTATCAGTCTCAAACATTCACAAATTACTTGGATTAGTGCAAGAATAGAAGACAATTGACTTGTCCTAATACCCCGCAACAAAACGGTGTCTCAGAACGTAAGAACAAACACTTGGCTGAAGTGTGTGGAAGTATGATGCACGCCAAAAACATTCATGGGCAATATTTGGCAGAAGCGATGCAGATAGTTGCCTGTGTAATCAACCGTGTACCTCAACAACAAATGAAATATGTGTCACCGTATGAGAAGTTGCTAAAAATCAAGCCCAATGTAAGTTATGTTCGTGTTTTTGGGTGTGTATGCTTTGTGTTTATTCCTAGTTCAGATCGACACAAGCTGGAGAAGAAAGTAAGCAAGTGTGTGTTTGTTGGATATGTCGGTGAAAGAAAGGGTTGGAGTTGTTATGACCCATCTACGAGAAAGTGTTCTCGTGTCTCGGAATGTTGTATTTGACAAGACATCCTCATGGTGGTCAGAACCTAGTAATTACTTTCCATACATTATCAAAGACAAGGAGAGTGTCAATTCACATCAGGTCTATATACCTTTCTTTGGTATCGTTGATACTGAGTATGACATGTCTAGTACAGGTGATGATCATCCTAGCCAAGACCAACCTTTGAATGTCGGTTCATCACAAAATCCCTAGAATACAGGTGTTTTTTCCCACGATAGTGTCTTATGTAAACTCTCCAAGAAGATCAACACGGATTAGAGCCCCTAATCCTAGATATGCACATGCGACAACGGTTGTTGAAGAGGTTAAAGAACCAGAATTATATGAATAAGTCAAATTCAAGCCTGAATGGAAACAAGCTACGACAGAGGAGGTTGAAGCACTAGTAAGAAACAAAATGTGAGAATTAGTGCCAAAATCGGTTGAAGTTACGCCATCACTTGCAAGTGGGTGTACAAGGTGAAGCATAAAACAGATGGGTCGGTGGAAAGGTTTAAGGCTCGATTGGTTGCTCATGGCTTCACTCATCAACATGGTCTAGACTACGAAGAAACGTTCATCCCGGTTGCTAAGCTTTCTACGGTTCGAGTTCTTTTCGTTGTGGCAACATATAACGGTTGGGTGTTGCATCATATGGATGTACACAGCGTCTTTCTGTATGGTACTCTAAACCATGTGATCTACATGGTGCAGCCAATTGGATTTGATAATAAAATCATCTGGATCATGTTTGCAAATTAAAGAAAGCCATATACAGATTGAAGCAATCCCCTAGATCATGGTTTGGATGTATTATTGAATTTATGATATATAATTGTTTCTCCGGTACTAACTCAAATCCTAGATTGTTTGTTAAATTGCATGGTTCACAAGTAGCGATGGTGTTTGTGTATGTAGATGATTTAATCATCACAGGTGACTACAGAGAAGAGGTGCACCAGCGGAAAGAGAATCTATGTACACGGTTTCAGATGAATGATTTAGGGAAGCTAAAATGGTTTTTAGGGCTGGAATTGAGTTATAAAGATAATGGGTTCTTATTGCATCAAAATAAATACACGGATGATCTTTTGCAAAGGTTTGGTATGCTTGATGTAAATTGGATACAAATTGGATGATGCTATAATGTATTGGAAGATGGTGAGAAGCCTAATCTACCTCAAGTTGACTTGACCGGAACTAACGTACCATGTGGGAGTCGTTAACAGATTCATGCAGCAACCCAGATAGCCACATCTTCATGCTATTCGACAGGTCCTTCGAGATGTTATAGGGACAATTGGGTTGGAGTCAGATTCAAGAGGAAGTCACAGTTCATGTTGTCCGGATACTGTGATGCAAACTATGATGGAGACCTTACCATTCATCGATCAACAACCGGGTATGTTATCTTGCTTGGGAGTGAGCCGGTGTCATGGTGCAGTAAATTACAACCTACAATGTCATTATCAACAACTAAGGCTGAGTATCGTTCCGTTGCGATGGTTGCACATGAGTGTACATGGTTAAAGCAAGTTTTAAGTGATATGAGACAAAATTGTGGAGATCAGGTGGTGCTAATGTGTGACAATATGTCAATAATCCAATTAGCAGGTAGCCCGACATTCCATGCTTGTTCGAAGCATATTGAAATCCACTATCATTACATTTGAGAAAAAGTGTTAATGGGCGAAATTGATCTGGAACATGTTGATACGGATAATCAAGTGGCATGTATGCTTATAAAGGGGTTGCCAAAACCCAGGCTATTGAAGTTTATATCACAGGCTGGAATGAAGAATTATGACATTAAGAGGGAGTTTGTTGATTAAGCAATGCCACATCATCAACTTGTGACCGTTATAGAGAATTTGCATGTTTCAAGTTGTTAGTAGTGTCCTAGTTTTATGCTTATGCACAATAAAGATGGTAGAATCAGTAGAAGTTAGTTCCTATTTTCAGTTTATTTTCATATAAAAGTCTTGTACTTTCCGGTTGTTAAGTTGTAGTGAAATGCAACTTTTCTTATGTGGTAGTTCCAAGTTTTCATCTTGTGAAAGTCAACACATGTTGACTTATTATTCATTATATGTTTTAACGCTCACTTTAATTTACTCTTTAATTGTTTCTCATTTAAAGTCTCCGTTTTTACATACATGGGATGTCATCTATATCCCCTAATCTAATAAATAAGTACAAACTCGCCACGCGTCAATCTCCAACCCCCCAAAATCGAATTTTTCCCGTTTCTTTTACTCAACTGAATTTACCGAAATGCCCTTCATTTCCTCTCTACGAAAAATATGCAAAAATATGCAAAATCGATTATATCCGAAAAAAATGAAAGTTTGTTTTTCTAATACGAAATTGATTAATTTCCTGCAATGCTTTTATAAACAGAATGCGAATAAATTATATTTATTACCCTATAAATCAATTGAAATCATCATTTACTATCCGTAATCATCTCCTACAAAACATAATTGCATGTAACCTTTCCATACCAAAAAACGAATAAATTATATCCTTCATTATTCCAGATCAAAATTATCTATAACGATTTTCAATCTTCAATCTTCAATTTATATCTAAATCCCAAATAATCAGGTCCAAATTCGAAATTTAAATCTAAATCCCAAATAATCAGGTCCAAATAAATGCATACGCATATATTAATCATCTATACGATACAGAATCCACGATTATGCTTCTCAGTTTTACTTCTTCAATCTTCTTTGATGTCTTCATAACAAAAAATGTGTGTTCTTCTTCAATCCTTTTCAGTTTTATCTGTTTACTATATTTGTTAATCTTTTTATACTATTTATGAAATACTAATGTACTTTCATGTATACAAATTTCTTTACACATGTCTAACAGGAATCTTTTTTTTTAATTTATCCTAACAAAGGAGCCTTTCCATGGATTCATACATATTTGTTAATGATTAATGTAATTTCATGTATACAATTTTCTTTACACATGTCTAACAGGATTCTTTTTTTTTATTATTATTTTTTTATCCTAACAAAAGAGCTTTTCCATGAATTCATACATATTTGTTAATGATTGATGAATTAATTTTTACTTTTTAAGAAAAAAACTCATCGTATGCTATGTTGTTAATCGTTACAAATGCAAAAAAAAATATCAGGTTGGCTATCATCAATTTCTGTAAAAGTTGACAAATTATCTTTAAACAGTTTATCACCAAAATGACAAATTGTCTAAAAAAATCTGTTATAGGGACCATTTATGTAACATTTCCACAAATCTGCTATAGGGACCATTTTTGTAACACATATTTATGCCATATCATTCTTTTCTACAATGTTAAATATTTAAACATGATTACATTTCAAACAATGTTAATTGTTTTTTTTTACAATTCATAGCAATGTACTTTCATTTAACAAAAATTTTACATTTTTAAATTAAAAAAGTACCATATTACCTCTACTATTTGCTTACTTATACTATTCATGTTACGACTGAATCCTTTTTTTATGGATGCATCGTTTGGTCAATGTGGATAAAAAATAATGATGATAAATAAAGGTAAAAAATCTCATATGAAAGTCAAAGATGGGTGTAATTTTAAGTAGGATCCTATTTTCCAAATTATTAAACTGAAACTCGACATTTTATTTCTTTTAACAATGGAATATATACTTAACTTTCAATTTCAATATGCTTTCAATTTCACCAAAATGACAAATTGTCTAAATTTTTTTTGCTATAGGGACCATTTCTGTAACATTTCCACAAATCTGCTATAGGGACCATTTATGTAACACATATTTATGTCATATCATTCTTTTCTGCAATGTTAAATATTTAAACTTGATTACATTTCAAACAATGTTAATTGTTTTTTTACCATTCATAGCAATGTATTTTCATTTAACATAAATTTTACACTTTTAAATTAAAAAAGTATCATATTACCTCTACTATTTGCTTACTTATACTATTCATGTTACCATTGGATCTTTTTTTATAGATGCATCGTTTGGTCAATGTGGATAAAAATAATGATATTAAGTAAAGGTATAAAATCTCATATGAAAGTCAAAGATGGGTGTAATTTTAAGTAGGATCCTATTTTCAAATTATTAAACTGAAACTCGACATTTTATTTCTTTTAACAATGGAATATATACTTAACTTTCAATTTAGATATGCTTTCAATTGTTTGCAAGAAATGAATATAGGTAATAAAGTATACCTAAAAAACATTGAACATATTGATGATGATTCACATATCAAAGTGCGAGTGGTAAAAATGTGGAACTTTATAAAGAATAATGTGGTTTATCAGTTGAAATGATTCTAACGGATGAGGATGTTTGTTGTAGTATGTTTTTAATATCCCATTCAATATTACATATGTTTCAAGCAATAAAACAATTGTTATTTATTTGATTTAACATGGTACAAAATACTATTCTCGTGTTTTCAATCAAATTTTTCCAGATTTGGTGATCTTTTAAAGGAAGATCAAACTTATATCATTTTAAAACCCAACATGGCGGCTGTGAATAATGCTTTTATTGCCACGGGTCATAAACAAACCATAACTTTGAATTGGAAAAGTATTCTAAAAAAATGTGAGGATTTTTCAGGTCCGGTGAATGGATTTGTGTTTGTTGATTTTAATTCTATTATCGAACAAACATGCCCAAGAGACTCATTCTTTGGTTAGTTATTTAATTTTATTCCAATCACTTTTATAACTTGTGTAATTTATTATACATTTTAGTATTTAACTTAATCTTACTTATTATATTTTATTATACTTTTGTAGATGTTATTGGACAAATTGTCTCATTTCGGGCACTTGAAACATCAAATCCTAACCCATCCAAGCATTACATAAAGATGACTATTAGCAACCTACAGTAAGATTATATTTCTTTTATTTCTTTACTATTTTTAATCACATTTTTTCGTACTAACTATATTCATTTTTTATTTAGGTCTGTACACCTGAAGGTCACCATATTTGGAACTCAAGCATACCAGATGTCACACAGTACCTCAAAACTAACCCCACGGTTACTTGTGTTGTTATAGTGATGCAGTTTGTTAAACTTAACATTTGGGATGGTTTGTAGTCACACTTTATATATATATATATATATATATATATATATATATATATATATATATATATATATATATATATATATATATTTATATTTACTTTTATTGACTAATTTATTTTTACAGGAATTGGTCAAGCTGAAAGTTATTTTGATGTAACCAAATTGTTCATTAATTCTGACAATGTCGAAATTAATGAGTTCAAGAAAGAGTTAGTTTCTTTTTGTTTTTTTATTTTTTATATTGTTTTTTAATTTAAACCAAGACAATTTCTTATATGTAATAAAATAATTTTAAACATTATAGATTGAAAAGTTGATAACAATGGAGGTATGTCTGAAAAAAAACATAACTACACTCTCAAGCTACTCTTCTTCTTATATAGATGATTTTAAAGGGGATTTCCCTTTAAAAATAGTTTGTGAGATCACAAAACCACTGAAGGTATATTGCATTATTTGATATCTTTTAATTTTATTTACACATTGTATGTTTTTTAACTTTTACATTTTATTTAATATAGGTAATGAAATTTCTATTAGTTGGTTTCATCGTAAATACAAGACAGAATCTACCTTGCTATTTCGATGCGTGCTCCAAATGTGGAAAAAAGATAAACACAATGCCCAAAGTGTTGTTATTCAGTGTAAAGATCTGCGTTGCAACAATTCGGATTTTCATACAGTTACAAAGTATACACATTTCTATTTATATTAATCATTTCAATCTTTCAACAAAATTAATATTAATGTAATATTTTTTTTGTTTAGGTATATAATTCCAATCAACATACAAGATGATACGGGCACCATTGGATTGACTCTTTTTGATAGGGAAGCGAAGAGGCTGTTAGATATAAGTGCATACGACTTGAAAAAGATACATGAAGCGGTATACTATATTATTCATATTTTTAAATCAAAAAACATTTTATTTGTTTTAATATATTAAACAATCTTCTTACGCGCTGGAGACAGTTTGGGACTATTTCCAAACCAAATTAACGTCTTGAAAAAACGCAAGTTTGCTTTTCTCGTAGATATTACATCCTACAATGTCAACACCTATAATAGTATCTACACCATTCTCAAACTTACAGAAGATGTGTCCATTGTTTCCCAACTGGAAAGTAAAATAGAACTTATGGTACATAACGTTTTAATGTTCAACATTTATATTTGTTTTTTATTTACATACATAACGTTTAACATATTTCCATCTTATTTTCTAGAGTATTCAATCCGTGTCCTTAAATCAAGTACCTTTGGAATCAGATGATGTTGTACAGAATGTTCAGAAGGTATTTCGATTCTCATATTAACTTTTATTTATATTTAATTATTCCAATTAACAACTTATGTTTTTTTTAATTTAGGATTTGATCTCACAAATGGATGAGATTTTTACACCCTCAACAGTTGATAAATCAACCGCAACCAGTCCTATCAAAATATCAACTGATTTGAAGCGCAACCTCCATGACATTTATGACGTTGATTGTGGAGATGATTTGAGTTCAAAAAGTCTAAAAGAAAATCAATCGGAGAGGAAAATCCACTTTTAGTTCCAAAAGTGGAGAAGTGAGTTGGTTTTGGTTATAACAAACAATTAATAATTTTTTATGTTGGTTTGGTTTTAAAGATATTTTGCTTGTTTGGTACGATTTTTTTGGATATCTAGGATGTCAATTGTGATAGGTTTATTGAGGTATGTATGACTTATCAAAAGAGCCTTTCCATGAATTCATACATATTTGTTAACGATTTATGATTTAATTTTTAGTTTATAAGAAAAACCCATAGTATGCTGTCAATCGTTACAAATGAAAAAAATATCATGTTGACTATCATCAATTTCTGTAAAAAGTTGACAAATTATCATTGTTGTCATGTTGCTCATGACACATGGACCATTTTTAAATAGTTTATCACCAAAATGACAATTTGTCTAAAAAAAATCTGCTATAGGGACCATTTATGTAACAGTTCGACAAATTTGACTGTTTTGTCACTACTAATTTATGATATGACATATTTATGCCATATCATACTTTCAAAAAAAAAAATTATGCCAGATTACATTTCAGATTTTTATTTTTCATTCAGTATTTTGACACTATGGTTTGGAAATTAAAAAAATTGTTGACTATGATTGTTTTTTTAATGGTTTGTTTCATTCCTGGTTTTCTATAATTAAATCACATGGGTTTTTACTACATACTGATGCTAATACATTTCTGATTATGTGTATCAGTTTTCTAAGTAAAATAATGAAGTATCAAGTATCCTATATATTACACCTGAATGCATAGAGGAACTCTGAGAGTAATTTAGTGTAATTTCCTTTTTTATTCACCTACGGATCCCCATATAGTTCTTATGTTTTTTTTTTGGAAATTTAATTCTCTGATTTGGTCATTTAACCATTTTATTGTTTGTTTTTGAATTACAGGTAGGTGTAGTTTGGTTTTGTGATTTTAGTCATTCTTAAATAGATCAAGACAAAGATAACGCTCATTTAACCATTTTATTGTTTGCTTTTAAATCACAGTTAGGTGTAGTTTGGTTTTGTTATTTTAGTCATTCTTAAATAGATCAAGACAAAGATAAACAACTACTTCTAAATCATTTTCCACATTTGTTGATATCAGTTACATTATACTTCTGTAATTAAAAAATGGTACTTTCATTGCTATTAATTGCCCAAATGATGAATCTACCAACATGTTCTATACTATGGCATTCGTCACTTCTATCAGGCTTGTGATCAATTGAGAAATGGATAGTTGTAGGCAAAACATACATCATGTTTGGATCTATAACTATCCAAGGGTATATTGGTAAATTGGATAAGCTTATAACTCCATGTAACATCCCAATTTTCGAGGCTGAAATTTTCATTTTTAATTAAGTAATCATATAAAATCATTTGCCAAACATTTCTAATATTATATCAATTCATAAAACCATTACGTCGTGTTTCAAAAACATATCATCAGGTAATAATAATAATAATCAGTGTACAATCCCAGAAACTCAATGCGGAAATCATGTGTGAGTGTGATGTGCCGCTACCGTGCCGACTCCTTCCCCTTCGCTGAAGAGGTACCTGAAACAAAACTGAAAACTATAAGCACGAAGCTTAGTGAGTTCCCCCATCATACCACACACCATAAAATAACATACTGTCAGGCAATTCTGGGGTGTCTGACTACCCAGGTCAAGCCATTCTGGGGTGCTTGACTTACCCAGGTCAAGTCATTCTGGGGTGCTTGACTTACCCGTCGGTCCTTACGACCGACATCCGAGGACTATTTCACCTCCTACTACTACTAACACATAATATCATAGCATAAACATACTGTCAGGCAATTTTGGGGTGCCCGACCTACCCGAAGTCTTGATGACCGAACTTGGGGACTATACTCCCCCTACTACCACTATCACACATAACATATCATGCTAGCACATAAACATGTCAGATAGCAGCAAACCTAGATGAATATCACAAAGACAATCATCTAGCATACAACTCCTACTGGTGGGCCGGCATTGTGGCCGTAGACCCACCGCTACTGGAAGGTAACTCACCTCGTAAAGCTGAGTGTCGAATCTCATGGGAAGTAACCTCTAACAGCTGCTCCGATGACTCCCAGCTATCATCATAATAATAATACTCAATCAGAGTCCACAACACTGCTCAGGGTAAAATGACCATTTTACCCCTCGGTCCAATTGGAACATACATAAGTTCCAAATTCTAGCTCATGAAGTCCAGCCCTCATATGGCCTAATAAGGGCTCCCTAAGGGCCTGCTAATTGCCCAATTTCTGAATTGGGCCTTAACCCCCAAATGGGCCTAAAAGTTCAAGTCCTAATATAATGGTTCCAAGGGGTCCAATTGTGGCCCAATAGGCCCAATACCCTAAATTCAGATTCCCAAGTCCAGAATTATACTTCCCAGTGGGCCACTGGGCCCAAAAGTCCAGGCCCATTTCCTTAAGGCCCCAAAGCCCAAAACACTCATTCTGCATGCGTACGCGCGGCGTACTTGGCATGTACCCCCAGCGTACGCTGGCCTTTACCAGATCGGGGAGTTGACCCAGTACGTGCGGCGTACCAAGGAGTACACCCAGCGTACTGGCCAGCTTCTTTGGGACTTCATCCATAACTTAATCGGTTAAGTCCTTACGTCCAAAATGCAAATCCAGGTCCTTTAAGACCTCCTAGACCATAAAGTCACAAACTTTATGTCCTTGCATGCAAGGTTGGGGTCAAAACATGATTTTGGTCCTTTTAACAAACTTTAAGACCCAATAACACTTGCATGGTTATGGCTTAACCATCAAGGTCCGATTTTTGTGGTTCTTAGTGCCTCTAAGAACCCAAAAGGACAGTTCTTATGCTCTGGAACCAACAATACTCAAACACTCCCAACAATGGGGTCAAAAAGGACATAAAAACCCCCAAATAAACAAATCTAAGCATACAATGGTCAAGTATGGAGCTTGATACCTCAAAGGAGTCAGAAATGGTGTCAAACCTCTGGATCTACAAGCTCTTGGTGGATCCTTGCTTCTTCTTCAAGCTCCTTTCTTCTTTTCTCACTAAAACAATACAAAAAGCACTCTCAAATGGCTTTTAGAACACAAAGGCACACAAAGGGAGCTAGGGTTTTCGTGGTGGCTGGGTAAGAGTGAAGGGAGGTTGAAAAAACAGGAGTTATGTTCTTTATATAGGGAGTAAACCCTAAATTTTAGGGTTTAATGAGCTGCATGCGTACGCTGGGCGTACTCCTGGTACGCTGGTCGTACGCACCTGGCCTCCGCGGTGCATTCTCACGAGTACGTTGGGCGTACATGGTTGTGTACGCCCCGCGTACGTCACTTCCTCAGTCCACTAATAAGGCCTAAAGGTCAAAGCCCAAATCAAACCATTCCATTCTTCAATTTTAAAATGATTAGTTATACCTGGAAAATCCCGGATGCTACACTCCATCTACATCATATGCTAAAGCTCTTTCCATTCCATATTAAGCATCTTTGTTAATTTATTAACTAAATAAAAGGTAGTAGAATTTTATAAACAAAATTAGTGCATAAAAATCAGATTACATTTATACAACATGAATTGGGTGGTAAAAACAATATTAACTGTCATGTTATCTAACTCTTGAGGCTTGACACCTCTTAATAAACTTATCAAAAAGAGGGCAAATTCGTAAATTTTCATGTTCCCCCTCTTTGTTGTCGATTATAGCAATGTACTTTAAAAGTGAATCATATTTCAGAACCTATCAGGAAACACACTCAAATCAACCCTAAAGATGACCTTTATGTCTATGATTGTGTAGACATTTAATAATTTTAATACAATTTTAAATAATCAATATTTATTAATTTCATAAAATCATCATTTTAATGGTAGTTTTAATAAAAATTTAAATAATCTATACAAAAGTCTAAATTCTAAACAAGACTTATGTCTTATTAATTTAATTTATTTTTTTATAACATTTTGATTTTTATTACCATTTTTAAAATAGAAAAGGACATAATAAATAATATTTACGAAATTGGTTAAATCCGAAAAAAATGAATGTCAAATATAAAATTGGTTTATTTGTTGCAATACTTTTTAAAATGGAATGTCAATAAATAATATCTACTACCCTACAAATCAATTGAAATCCTCATTTACTATCCGTAATTATCTCCTAAAAGTTGTTATCAATTTCTTTTTTAAAATACATTTTATCTAAATATAACTAACATGCTATTCTCTCATAATCTCGCCATACAACTCGGTACTACATTCATTCACTGTTTCCTACACCACTCTGCATCCAATCTTCGATTATTCATTTCAAATCCGTTTCACTCAATCGTTGTTAAGAAGGTTTAAGGACAATCGTTATCGAATGTTGGTTTGTTTCTCAAAAACCCAATTTTTTCACATTGACAATTGTATGTTGCCCTATCTAGAGTTTAAAGCAGAGAGAGATTAAAATCATTAATTTTAGATAAAGATGGTATACTCACAAATAAAACTTTCAATGTTGTTTATAAGGAAGTTTTTCGCAATTTATAACCAAATTTTTTGTATCATCTTTTAGTCATTTTTAGCAAATCACACTTCATCCATCATATTAATTTATTTATTTATAATTACGTATTGTATTTTTTTATGTTAATTTCATTACAGACATGTTTTGTTTGTTTTGTATGAAATCAATTTCGATGTTTTTTTGGTTTTTGGTTTTTGTTTTTTTTTGTCATTACTCAAACGTATGTTGCATTAAATAAAGTCATGACTTTTATAAAATAGGTCGATTTACATTTTTAATTAAATACTTAAAAATTATAAACTTACTAAAAATAGAGAACATGTCCTAAGAAAAACACAACCATTGCACGGATTTCAAGGTTATGACCAGTAAACCTAAAAAAGAAATACATGACGTAGTAAATCAACATAAAGTTTTGAAAAAAAAAAGTTGACGAAGACAACAACAATTTCTATTAATCTCACGAAATTAGTGGAGTTGAAGCTTTATTAGGATGGT